CTTTAAGGGAAATATAAAGCATATCAGACCCTGCCGACAGCTATTATACAGAGTCATAAGTAGACCTATTTACATGGTCTGAAAGACAATGTGCTTATAGGAGACACTTGATCCTACAGTGCCAAAATGACCTGATTTGCTCAAGCACAACAGAGACGTAATTGGGATGCATAAGAGCCTGAGTTACAGGGAAGAATATGAAGAAGAATCGGATCTGGTGCAAGCGAGCTATAAAGCTGGGGCAGGGTGGGAGAGTGTGCCTGGGTAATCTCCTTATTTCAGGCCGGAAAACATTGATCTTAAGCAAGGCAAAGGGGGGAGGACCAGAGGGATCAGGCTGGAAGGTTTTAAGGGAAAAGTGAAAGACGAATCAAGGGTACAGTTTGTTTGTGTTGGAACATATTTACCCTTTACTTTTATAAAAAAGAAACATGTTAAAAATGTTGAATACAGCTAATTTAAGGGGTGACATTACAATGACATGGTAACATTAGGGTAATTAATAGGCAGAAATGTAATAAAATAATAATATGCATAATTATGTTTCCATTAGTGTATAATGACCTGAAACTGAGAATCATTATGTATTATTTAGCTTAGAAAAACCCATTTATAGGGTTGCCTTCCACAGAGTCTGCCATCTTACCTGCATTACCTAAAGGTGGGGATGGCTAACGAAACTCGGTATTAAACGGGCTCTGGATTATTAAAAATCAAAGTATTAATAAGCTCTGACGTTACTTGGGCTTTTTATTAGTACTTTTTAATGTTTTCTTGTAATTTAATATCACACATAATATAATATCGAGCATATCCACTGCTTTCTCTGTCAGGCTGGTCTCCTCTAACTACACAGAAAGCTAAGACACAAGCACAAACACACGATGACTCAACAAGCAAAGAGTGACTGCTGTGACTAAACCAGGTGGAGAGTTGATGGCAGGGGCGTTTCTAGGATTCAAAGAAAGGGGGGGCTTAGCCCCAAGGGGAGTGGCATGTTTGGGCCCATTTGGGGCCGCGGATATCCATTGTTTCAGACAGTTCATAGATTGGTTCAATCAGAAAGAGTGTGATTTTGCTCTGTAGTTTTGCTTGCATTCAGTATATGATAACACAACAGACAGAATTTGAGGGTCATAGTGAAATTTGACAACACAAATATGAACTTTTCTCAAACAAAGAATATCCGCGTCACTCCCAAATCCTAATTCTTAAAGGGACCGCACACAATGGATGGAGAATGGACCTGACAGCGTCAACTTTATATCGTTCAGTATGATGATAGGCTATTGGATTGTAATTTGAAGGGGGAGAAAACATACAAACCAGAACGCACGCACATATGTAGCATGTTAGAGTTATAAATAACTTGTCCATATGAGAAACAATAGTTTAATTTAATGACATCACCAAAATAAAAATATATATATTTTTTTCTTTTTTTTTTTTAAAGCCAATAATGCCAAATTATTTGGGGGGGGGGGCTGAAGAACATTTGAGGGGGGCTTCAGCCCCTCTAAAATATGCCTAACGACGCCCCTGGTTGACGGCAACTACGCTCATTACTGTTATTGCAATAAAACATTCCAGAGTAAACAGAGGATATTTTATCAACACATGAACATGTAAACGAAAGTGAAACCTAATTGAATTGGCCGCTCTCAGCAACCATAGTTCTCCGTAATGCTTAGAAAGGGAGGGGGGGGGAGGAGCAAAGGGTCATGTTGTTGCTCGCTATCTGTAACCTCACCACTAGATGACCCTAAGTCTCAAACACTGTTCCTTTAAAGTATTCCCCAACATGAAGTCTGGAATTGCAGAGGACAAATCCGATCACATCTCACAGACCAACTTGTTTCTTCAACAAAACAATAGCTCAGCTTTAAAAATGAAATATAACATATTGCTTTGTAATATTTTGAATAATTCTACTTTGTAACTCAAACTTATGTTAACGCTGCTGTGACTATATTGTTCACTCTCAATCAATTCACTGCGAGGAGGCATACAGATTAATCATCTGTTCACACACACACACGCACAGACGCAGCTTCACATCAACAAATCTGTTACATTTTTACATTTCAGTTCAGTATCTCCTCATGGGACCAACTTATACAGAATGTGTCCTAATTCTGATTGCGCTTGTTGAAGTGCATCAGAGCACATTTGCAACGCAGCTAACTCAGCCTGACTGGTGACTCCAAAATGAGGACAAAATCATGATGTTTGATACAGAGGGAAATTGGACGTTACAGCTTTTAAAAAGTTTAAAAAGTCCTCTGGTGTTATGTTATTTTCACTCACAGTCAAATATCCATCAGTATGCAGCCAATGCAGGCTTCGTCTTGACAGTTGGGACAGTGAAATAAAATGGAGATTATGCATCGTAATCCATTTTGTGAGCATGGGTCACAAATAGGTTTCACCCACTGCCCTCTGCTAGGCCGGATGGGTAGTTGTTCAACCCATCCGGCCTGTCTAGAACTTTGCCATGGTATTTGTCCATAAGGCCTAGACACACCAAACCAACATCACCAACAGCCTGTGTCTTTGCCAAAAAGTTGCATTTGAACACATCGCAAAGAAAAACAGACAATGGCCAACTAGCACATACATCCTGCACCTGCTGGAGAGGAGATAACTGTCCATTACTGCAGTTAGCGGTAGTCATGTGTTTGTCATTCAAAAGAGAAAACCGGAAGCTTTTGCCCTCCATTTTCACACCACTCTTTACTTACTACTTAGCTAAATTCCAGACGACCACGTCGTTATGAAAACACTTGTGTATTGGAATGATCAAATGAGAGGAAGAAGAAACGTGAGAGAAGCCTTCTGTGTGTGCCCCCTTGACTTGTTATTGTCATTTGGTAAAAGGTTAAAGGGCACAGCTTTCTCTCTCATATATGATTTATAGGCTTAGCGGTGAAGCCTTATTTTGCTCCCTCTGCTGTGAAATAACAAAAATCACAAGATTGACAAAGGATCCCTCTGTTAGAAATCATTACATCACACAGCTTCCTCATCTGACCTTCTGGCATCACAACAGCCATACTTAAGAGATACACAACACCAGACTACTGGTGCTGTAAACCGTTGCCAACACTTAGAGTCCTGGAAGGTTTAAGGGGTCCCATGGACAGTCTGGGAGAGAATTCAACAACAGCCAGACAACTAGAGATTTCCCTGAATGTCCAAAGTGCCTCATCTGAGAATGGATTTTTTGAAAGATTCAAAAACATCAAAAGCATAGTTTGCACTTGGTGAAGCAAAGGCTGAGACACCACTGAACAAATAGCCTCTTCTGATGGACCACTGAACAGAGCTGTCAAAGCTGTCAATGCAATACACGAAGCTGCAACAACAGGAGACTGTTGCAATACTACTCCAGCAGCAGCACATAGAACGAAGCAGCCGGGATTTTTGTTCTTAAAAGGTCGCTGAGAAGTTTCGCTTCCCGGCATGTATTTTCAACTTTATTTCATTAAAGAACTAAATTACTTTGCAGAGCAGGATAATGGCCAGGAGACAAAAAACATGATTGCAGACCAGCTGCATATAAATGCAGGTCTTGCAGTAATCGTGTTATTGGAAGTGCATTCTCAGATTTGCTGTCTTAATCAGATTTTAATTAGTTTGGAGAGAGAGAGAGAGAGAGAGAGAGAGAGAGAGAGAGAGAGAGAGAGAGAGAGAGA